GGAGGAAGGAAGGAAGGAAGGAAGGAAGGAAGGAAGGAAGGAAGGAAGGAAGGAAGGAAAAAGAGATGGAAGGAGCATTAAAGTTGGGGGAGGGATCTTTTGGTGGATGGGGGTCAGTTGCTGGATGAATAATGGTAAATTGCCCTCTCCTTCAGCCCTCAAATATCCAGTCACAAATTCTTTGTTGTTTGCCGTCTTCCTCCCATTCCCTTCCCCTTCCTCTTGAGCATGGCCCAGCCCCCTCACAGTCCCTAGTCTCTATGCAGCCTCCTAGTCCATTTATCCCCACTCTGTTTTTTCAAACAATGTCTTTGTCTCTTTCTTGAATTCTCCATGGCTCCCCACTGCCCTCATTCTAAGGGCCAGGACTTCCTCCCAGACTTTGAGGCCCCACCCTGCCTGGCCCCTGCTGAGCTGTCCAGCCACCATTTGCCTCCCACATGTATCACATATCATAACTTCATCAGACCACCCAAGGTCCTTGTGCAGACTCTGTGCCTTCTTGGGTGTCCATGGGATGCTTTCCCACCTTGCCAATATGTTGAGGGGAAGGGCCTGGTTCCACAGGTCAGGCCCAGCAGGGCCCTCTCTCAGATATGCCCCTCACCCCCAGCCTGACTCTCTTTGCCAAAATCTGCGAGAAGACGGTGCTGAAGAGGGTACTGAAGGAGCTGTGGAAGCTGGTCATGAACACCATGGAGAAGACCATCGTCCTGCCACCCCTCACTGACCAGACGGTGAGACCCACAGGATTCAGAGGGGATATCTGGGCCACCTTCCTTGTGGGGGCCCAGAGAGCTTAGTGCCAAAGGCATTGGGGTTCAGAGATTGTCCAGGCACAAAGGTCATCTAAGGGTAACAGAAGCCACCAGAGGTCAATGAGGACAAAGATCAGAGAGGTTACTCATGGGTCCAAAGTCTTCAAAGTGTCAAAGAGGTCATTCATGGGTCAATTAGTCAAAGGTCAAAGAAGTCAAGTAGAGTGAAATGACATCTAAGGGACTTAGAGTTCACGTTAGTCGAGAAGCCATTCAGGGATCAGAGATCACCCAGAAAACAGGTCACCTTGGTACTCAAGGCCACCCATGGGGCACAGAAATCATAGGGGTCAGTGGGCTTATCAGAGGTCCTTGGGGGTTCAATCAAGAGACAAGGAGGGGAGACACCATGGACTTCAAAGATCAAAGAGGAACAGAACAGAGGGCTCCCAGAGGTTGGGCAGAGGTCACCAAGAGCATCCAAGGTCAGAGAAGTCAAGTAGAAGTCTGTAGCCATCCAGGAACCAGGACTGTGCCTCTGAGACCCTTTTGGGAACAGCCCAGAAACAGTGAGCCCCAAGGATCAGGCTGCCATGACATCTGTGGAGGGGTGTGGCTGGGCGTGGGTACCTCTGGGGAAACATTGGGGGCCTGGAGAGCCTTGGTACCTGGGTTGGTGGCTCAACACAGAGTGGGAGGGCACTCCTGGGTGAACATGGAAAGCTTGGGGATGGTGGCGGGGGTCCCCCCAAGAGGCAATGATGGTGCAGGAGGCTCAGACCTACCTCCTTCAGGCTGGGCTGGGGCATGGGGTTCGCCCCTCAGTGCCCTCTCCACCCTCTCCCTGGCCTTCCTGGGAGACTCATGGTGACTTATTCCCCCCTCCCTACCACCTGGCCCCCATCATGGCTGACAGATGATCGTAAGTAGAGGCCCTTCTGTCCGTCTGTCTGTCCGTCCGCTCTGTGTCTGGACTCGGNCTGGAGGGAGGGAGACCATGCCTACCACCCCACCCCATTATAAGTATGGAGACAGTGCCTCCAGGTTCCCCAAACCCCAGACCTAGCACCTTCACGTCTGCCCTAGTCCTTTAGTTGTGAGAACCCCCCTTCCATTATCAGACACCATTAGGGTATCTGAGTATCTCCTAGAAGCTCGGAGGTTCAAAGTCACTGCATCCCCTCTAACCTCCCCTTTGGTCTCACCACCCAGGACCCTACTCAGCTGCTTAGCACAGGCCCTCCATCACTCCTACCCACCCCACTCCCACTGCACATACAGACATACATGAATCCCAGACGCACACCCAAATACCCAGGTGGGAGATGGCATTTTGACTTTGGTGTCAGGCAGACTTGGCTTCAAATCCCAGCCCAGCCTCTCTCTCTCTCTCTCTCTCTCTCTTTCTTTGTATGACCTTGGAAAGTCACTTTACCTCCCAACCTCCATTTCTTTTTATGGAAAAAGCAGTTAATTGAAGCAACTGAGTGTTGTTGTCACAACCAAATGGGATGATACATTAAAGTGCTCATCCCCATGACTAGTGGAGGCAGTGCTCACTAAATTAGACCTAATGTTATTGTTTTGGTGGTGAGGGTAATATTTAGACACATACCAGGGCATAAATCAGTAAAACCACTTCAGATTCCTACCCTTTGTGAAAAAGACAAGGCCATTACAATATTTAATCTTGTTAAAGTTTACAGAGCTCATCTTATTTCTTGGCAGCTTCAGTGTGTGTCTTTGGCTGTAACCACCTGCTGGCAGTATATCCAACCACAGACAATGCTTTTGTGGGTGGGAAGCTAAGGGAATTGACATTTATTGATTCTATGTATGCCAGACCTCTTAGATGCAGTTTCAGCTCACCTTCATGACAACCTTTTGAGCAAAGTGGATGTTATTATTCCCATTTTGCAGATGAGGAAAGCTGAGACTCGGAGAGGAGAAGTCACTTATTCAAGGCCACATAGTAAATAGATGCCAGAGTCAGGATTCAAATTCAGGTCTGTCTGAATATGGAACCTTTCTGCTTTCCTGTTGACCCAAGAACCAAGAGCCTCATATTTATAATAAACGTAAATGGGTTATATTTTGGCAGCAACTTCTTGCCTTTCTCTCTGGCTCTGTATTTCTATTTCTCCTCTCTTTCCTGTCTTTCTGACTCTCACACGTTTTAAGAATTGGTCATTAAGACACACACACATATATACCCTTGCAATACAGTCACCAGTCCCCTGTGCAGTGCAGATGGCCCTTACCCCCTCCCCCCATAAGTACATCTGTGATAGCCCTGGGTTCCCACCCCACGTGGCTTGCCAGGTTGATCACCCTGTGACATTGTCTCTGCAGGGCACCCTCTTGAGAAAACATGGCAAGGGATTAGAAAAGGTAATGAGGGCCTCGTTCGTGCTGAGGTTCTGAGCTCTGGTGTCTGGGCATGTGTGTGCATGTGTGTGTCCATATGCATGGACAGGAAGGTCAGCTGGGGGTCACAAGTAGAGGAGGTGAGGGTACTAATCAAGACCCACAAAACCAGAATTCAGAGATGAGATGGTTCCCCAGGGACATGGCTTGCAATGCGTGAGCTAATGTGTGCACATACAGTTCCCACCCTTTCACAACAACACCCAAAGGGCTTATCCCAGGCCTGTGCTAAGCTGAAATTTTGTGATTTCAAGAAGGGCCCAGACATTGAGCCACTGCCATGGACTGAGACATGTGTTGTTTTTTATGTAGATTTTTTTTTTTGTTCTCATGATTGTTTATGGTAAAGAGATGGGAGCTATAGCAACACATGAACAGTTGCCCTTGCTGTGTACTCATGCAGGAGCTATCACACCTGTGTGCACACAAGTGGGGTCTCCACTTTATGAACAGGGATTGTAGGACTTCCCTACTCCCTCATCCAGCCCTTTAGGGGATACATTCAATGTGCCAGGCACTGTACACATGTATCTGCACCCATGTGGGGGGGGAGTATGTGGGTTTGTGTTTGTGACTGTGCACACATGTGTAAGTGTTTAGGAGTGCACTTGTATATTTTAGCATGTGAGTTCTGCTTGTGTGTGTCTTTGTATGTCAATCTGGATGTGTGAGTATATAAACTGCACACTCATGAATGTGCCTGGGTGTGTGTATGTCGAGTGAACTTGTGCTACCTGTTAGCACGTTTCTTTTAGAGTCAGGCCTGCCAGGGTAAGGTCTTGGGAGTTGGGGGACAATAGACCTTGAGCTCTATCTCTTTTCTCCCCCTCCCCAAGGTGCCCCATCCTGGGGCAGGCTGACTATGGGATGGGAATTTGTTCCAAGGCGATGGGCTGGTTCTAGGCTCCTGGCATGGCAGTCCAGGAGCCTGGCCCCAAGCCCCTACTGGGAAACAAGGGAAAGTGCCTAGCTGGGGAGGGGGTTCAGCATTAGACCCAGGACCTGGGAGGGAGCTCATGGGCTGGGGGTGGGACTGTGCTTTGAAAGGGCAGGAAAGTCCCACTGACTATCCTCCCAGCTGACACTTGAACTCTGACCTCCGCCTGATTCTCTTCACAGGGCAGGGTGAAACTGCCAAGCCACTCAGATGTAAGACCGACCTCTCACTGTCTGTCTGGGTCTCCCCAACCCCCACCCCAACCCATGCCTCCTTCTACCCTTGTGGTCTGTGCCATCTGGTGGCGTTCTGTGAACCTGTCTGTCGGTCTCTTCTTCCTCTGTCTGTCTGGCTTGCTTGTGAGGGGTGGTGGGTGGATGGGGGGGGCAGCAGGCAGGGAGGAGGGGGCGTCAAGGGAAACTGAGGCCTAAACAACTGGGCTCCTGAGTAACTGTGCCTCATTACAGCGTCGGGGAATCGCAGGCCAGAAATATGAAGAGTAGGGACAGCCAGGGTGATGATAGCACTAGCAGTGCCAGGCTAACCGGCTTCCACGGGTCAGTTGGTAGATTGTCCATGTAATTCCAAACCTCCCTGCCAGTCCCACCTGAGGCCCCCAGACGACCCCAGGACCCAGTCATTCAGGACTCATTTCATTGATACTCAGCCCCACTTCATCCCCCTAGGGGGTGTCCCTGTTAGCCAGGGGAGGAAACTGAGGCCCAGAAAGTGTCTGGGATACACCTCAAGTCACCCAGCATAGAGGAGGCAGGACAGGAGACTTTCAGGCCTGGACCCTGTCTCCCCCAGTACTGCCCGTGACTTTGAAACCAAGTGCTAGTAACAGTAAATATTGAACAAAGACACTTAGTTCCAGCTGAACCTTGAAGTGAATATGATTTCCTTCATCTAGATGGCAAAATTTAGACTCAACGAGGTTAAGTGACTTTCCCAGGGCCACACAGCAGAGCTGGGATTTGAGACCAGGCCCACTCAGCTTATTGGAACTATAACCAGGACACCATCTTGCTTGCTTGCTTGTCTGTTTGGGGAGAGGGGTATGTTGAAGTGTGTGTTGGGAGGATTCTTCCTTTAAAAGGCTAGACTAACAGTCTCCCCAGATTACTGGGAGACTCCTCCCACAGAGAGAATGGCCCTGAAGGGAGTGAGGGTTTCACTAGAGCCCATCCCATGGTTTCCTCAAGACCCCCTGACTTTGGGCTGGCAAGGCCCACAAACACCATCTGGGGCTCCCCCAACCCACTGCCCCTCCCAGCCTGCTCTCTCTATTTCTCTTCTCTGTCCCACAAACCTGGGGGCATGGTAGAGGTGATAAGGGTGGATAGCATCCCCACAGGACTGGGATTTCTGGGGACAAAGTCACCACCTCCTCATCAGCTCCTCCTGGGGGGGTTCCAGACCTCTGGCTCTGGGACACAACCCTGCTCAGAGCCTTTGGACAAGAACCAAGAAGATGTCCAGGGCTAGGGTGTCGTCAGGGCCTTGGGGACTGGGCTGGAAGACTCCCACCCTTACTTGGCTGTGTCTGTTGTTACCTGCAGGGAACCCAGATGATCTTCAATGCAGCCAAGGAACTGGGTCAACTGTCTAAACTCAAGGTGAGGTCAGGGGTAGAGGTAGGAGATCAGGGTTGGGGGTATTCTTTGGGAGAAGTCCCAGAATAGTGACATGCTTTGCAGGTTCAAGGGACAGGAACCCTATTCAGACTGGCTTAAGCACAATTTATTTGCTCTGGTGTGTTGGAAAGATACAGTTTGATCAAGGGTACAAATCATTTATTCAATAAATATTTATCTAGCACCTGCTGTGTGCCAGTCACATGCTGGGCACCTGGCACACAATGATGAAAAAGCAGATTCACAGTTTTACAGGGATTAGTACCATAGATAGGCGGATCCCTAATGAAAGGCCTGCTCTGCCCACCTGGCCCCTCTCTCTATTCATCCAGGACCACATGGTACGAGAGGAAGCCAAAAGCTTGACTCCAAAGCAGTGTGCAGTTGTTGAGCTGGCCCTGGACACCATCAAGGTGAGAGACCCCACCCCTGCCCATCCAAAGAGGGGAAGCAGAGGGTGTGGCTGGTGTGGACATGGACCTATGTTCAAACCCACCTTAATTCATTCAATTTATAAACACTCCCTGATGACCCTCTGGCAAGGTCCTGAGGAGCCCCAGGCTGG